TAGGCACGAAATTATTGTTTTCTACAACTTGTCACCCACAAATCGATGGTCAAACTGAAGTAGTGAATAGAACAATTACACAGCTATTGTGCACTGTGGTTAATAAAAATCTAAAGAATTGAGAAGAATGATTTCCTTTCATTGAGTTTGCATATAATAGGGCCACGCATTCTACTACATCGTTTTCACTATTTGAAATTGATTATGGTTTTAATCCTTTAACACCTATGGATTTAATACCTTTGGCTGTGAATGAACGAGGTAGCTTGGACGGGAAAAAGGAAGCCGAATTGGTAAAGACACTCCATAAAATGGTAAGGGAGCAAATAGAGAGGAAGAACAATCAACGCACAACACAAGGAAATAAAGGCCGAAAATATGTCACTTTCGAACTCGGAGATTGGGTTTGGGTGCATTTCAGGAAAGAGCGATTCCCAGAGCAAAGAAAATCAAAGTTATTGATCGTTCCAAGTGATTGAGAAGATCAACAACAATGCTTATAAGATAGATCTTCCCGGTGAGTATAATGTTCTCTGCAACCTTCAATGTTTTTTACTTATCTCTTTTCGATACAAGTGCAGATTCGAGGTTGAATCCTTTCAAAGAGGGAGGGGATGATGTGATCCAGGAAGCACAAGTACCAAAGTTAATAGTCGAGGGGCTGATGATGCGATTGAGGGCCAAGCATGTGAAAGAGGTGATGGGATTGCTCGTCAAAGCAAAGGTTGATGAAACAATGTTCGAGATGTAAAATGGAGCAAGTCTCGTGTTAGGGACGAAGGACAAAGAGTATTAGCTCAACGTCCTTAAAGCTGAAGAAAATGAAGCTAATGCATTCAACCATGCGGCCGCATAGGTCTAAAGTCCTGCGGTCACATACACCCAACAGAAGTCCCAAAGTCGAAGACCAATTGCACTATACGACCGTATGCTCTAAAGCTATGCAGCTGTATAGGTCAAGTTTGAGGTGAATTTTTCCAACTTTCGTGTTTTTTCCTTATTTTAATAGAATTTCATTATTAGTATATTTTTACCATAATTAGGCTATTGCAGACGAATTTTGCATTATTCTTAGATATTTTTCCTAGTTTACTTAGATTCTCTAGAATAGTATAAATAATTTATTCCTTATTGTAAAACATTACAACTCTCATATTATTGAATATTATTCGTGAGGCATTAATTGCTTTCTCGTTCTTCGTTGAACAACTTGTGAACTTATCAAGATTAATCTTGTGGCGTTCAAATCAACCGAGTGAGATTCATTTGAATTGCTTAATCAAGAGGTCCAAATATTGTCGGCGATTCAAGTAGCTTGGTTCCAGTTTATTGGGTTTAATCCAAAACCTTGTCATTGGCTTTCTTGGGTTTGATTCTCATTTTGTTGTGGCTTTGGTAGTGATCGCGCTACGCGGGTTCACATCAAAATGCCTGAAAATAAGGCTGCGTCCTAGACATGTCCTGCACACCGTGTCCTAGAAACCCTAAACCCTAAACACTAAGCCCTAAACCGTAAGCCCTAAGCCCTAAACACTAAGCCCTAAGCCCTGGACCCTGAACTGTGAACCTTGGACCCTGAATCCTGAACCCTGGACCTTGAACCCTGAAATTGTTTGGAGGATTACATCGGATGGTAACTTTACCACTAAATCAACATGGTAGCTTGTCCGTTCAGTTCGCCAGCCTCAAGATTCGTATCGATTACTGTGGAGCCCAATTTTGCCTACCACTATTTCATTCTTCTGTTGGAGACTGTGGCAGGATCTCATTCCTATAGATGTGATTATTCAGAGGAGGATTAGGTGTCAATTGGCTTCTCGTTGTCAATGTTGTTCTGAGATTGAAACCATTAATCATATTTTCACGAGCAGCAGAATCTCCGACCAGGTATGGCAGCACTTTGGAGACATCTTTCTGATACCTATGACTTCAGGGAAGGGGGTCCGACAAAGGTTTCATAGATGGCGGTATTCTGGGCAACATGTTAGTTGTGGGCACATTCGTACTATCATTCCTCTACTGATATTTTGGTTTCTATGGACTGAGAGGAATGATGCAAAACATAGGGGTGTTCATGTGGTGGCCAGTCGTATTGTTTGGAGGGTCTACCGTATGATCTCTTTTCTTCATATGGGAGGACTGTTTCGAGTTGTGCATTGGCGAGGGGATGTGTCACTTGCACCCCTTTTTGGCATTTCTATAACCCATCCTATCCCACCACCGCCAATTATGGTTGTTTGGTGCACTCCACCAATAGGATCCTATAAGATCAATACTGATGGATGCGTCAAGGATGAAATTGCGAGTGGTGGAGGCATCGTTAGGGACCACATAGGATACTGCATCAGGGCATTTTCAGCATCGTATGGCACATGTTTGACTTTGGAGACTGAGCTCAGAGCTATACTAGATGGGATTTTATTGGCCAAAGGACTTGGGATATTAGCTATTTGGATTGAGGTAGATTCAACGCTGGCCATTCACTGCATCACCAAAGGTGGAAGACCATGGACGATTCAGGGTATTCTAAGACAGATCAAAGACTTCATTTGCCTTGACAGAGACACAGTTTCTCACATCTATAGAGAAGGTAACCAGGTTGCAGATTCTCTTACTTTAGAGGGTTGGGATCACCAGCATTACCAAGAATATGGACCACTTGACCTGCCTCGACAGATTAAGGCGTTGGTGCAAATCGACAGATATGGATTGCCCAACTTTAGAGGTTTGTAGTTTAGGCAATCATTATTTCATTTTTCGTGTACAAGGAAGTAGTACTTCCTCATTTACTTTGTTCATTTTTAATTTTTCATTTGTTGCACTGTTGCTTTTTGGAGGTCAGGTTTATGCCCCCCTCCTTC